TATCGAACCCAAGAGAGAGGTGGTGGGTGCTTTGGGAGGAACGGTTGGTGAAAGGGCTGGAGGGAGGCAGCATGTCTGGCCTTGCAGTAATAGGCCTTGGTTTACTGCTGGTAATCCTGCCTTTCCCTTGTAGGGTTAGAGGAAGTCAGAACATGTGGCCTCCTTGTCATTTTTGTAGGCCAGAAGAACTAGATGGTGCCCTGCTACCAATGTCAACCATTCGGATGTGATCTATGTAGGAGATCCTGGATAGAGAGGGAAAACAATGTGGAACAAAACTCAAAATCATTTGGAAAAAAAAAGGGGGTGGACCAGGTTTACTGGTCTGATAGAGCCTGGTGGAACCACTGAGACTACGGCCCCTACTTGACCTTCAGGTCTGGAATTGAACCCACACCTGTGGCTTCCAGCTAAACAAAAGGCAGGCATATGAGTTGAACATTGACCTGAAGTAGAAACACCCTTGGAGAGAACAATCATGGGAGAAAGAAGGGCTGTTTATGCACAGGGGGCAGGAGTGCATGGAGAGATGGACACAGGGAAGAAGTGACTATGGGGAGTAAGTGGGAGGGGAGCTGTTGCATTGGGTAAATTGTAGTCAATATCATGAGACAAAGTGTATGTGAAGTGCTGTATGGAAAGTGAATTTGCTCTGTAAATTTTCACCCAAATCACAATTAAAAAAAAAAAAAAAAAACTTCCTAAAAAATAAAAACATCATGAACCCAGCTCTCCTCCAAAGTTTTTCCCTACTATTTTCAGCACTGACTACCAGGATTCTGCCTGACTGTTCTTACTGCTTTGTGTTTGTGGTTTGTTTCCTTGAAGATCACTTTTCCTTCAGTCCCATCTCATTCCTCACCTCTCAGCGTGCTCAGAATCAAGGGGAACGCCTGACAAACACAACCGCAATGGTCTCCAGAGCTGCTTCATAAGAGGCCTATTTGGCAGCTAACAGTAGTACCCAAACCTGGAATCAGCCCTCAACAATCTTATTAGTCACAGGCAATCTGAGGACACACTGGCATCTTCATGACCAACTCTCATGAGGGCAGCATTCCCCTAACTTCTATAACAGATTTTTAAAACAATTCCTGTCAAAGATACATTCAGTTACTTGGGTTTCCTTGTAGCAAGTTCCTAGATCACAGAGAGAACGTAATGTTAGTGTGACCAAGGTTTACTGGGGAGGAGAAAAAAAGAGCTACATCAATCCAAGATGTAATTTTTTCAATACCCACTGAAGTGATTTGTTTACTCAGGTCCCTAACCTGCGGCAGACAGGCATGGGGACTAGCTAAGTATTCTAGTGGTTGCACCCACCATCCTTATGGGGAGGATGATGCACTCTCTGCAGCAGACATGGCCTAAATTCTGCCATTCCTCATTCCCAATCACTGTTATTTTTCAAAGAAACTACATAAGATAGAGAAGTGGATTTGTTGTTCCTATTGTAGCTGTTTTTTCATTAATATAACCAATGTTATAGAAAATTTGGGAAACAGAGAAAAAATAAATGTCCATAATCCCACCTCCCTAATATAATTATTATTACTGCTTTTGCATAACTTTACTCTAGACTTTAAAATGTTGTTTTTATAATGGAATAATCTGGGTATTCATAATTTTGCATTCCTTTTCCATGTAGCTATGGTTTTCACAACCACCATTTTCTTAATGACTAAACATTACTTTTTAATGAATAACCATTGGATTAACAGGATAATCCAATGAGAAAATATTACTGTTTACTTATTTCATTTCATTGTTGGATAGTTAGTAGATAGTGGAGCGGGGCTGCAAAGTCACATGTGCCCTCCCCCCCAGCTCACAATGACAGTACACAGCCCTCTTCTCAAGCTGTCTCATACTACTCCCCACTTCCTCCTTCATGCTACATATTACACTCTCTTATAAAGAAGTATTAATAAGAGAAACCAAACAACCTGACAGAAATAGAAAAATAACACACTTCAGGAACCGCGATAAATGTTATGGTTGGAAATATCCTTACATGAATAGCTAATATGACCTGGAAGATGGGTTGTTATGTGCTCTTTTGGGTTCCTTCATTTCATGTCAGCCTACTTCCACCATCCCTGATACCAGGCCCCTATCCCTTCCAAATTGGACTTACCAAGTAGAACACAAAGCTCAGATAAGCTATGCTGACCACAGCAGCCACCACGTACAATGCCATGTGCCCTAGTCCTTCGACATAAACCACCACAAAGTACATGTTGATGGAACAGATGGTAAGAACCAAGATCCCACCGGCAATCTTCCAGCCTCTGTGAAAGAATCAGCACAGTCAAGTGAAGGAATAGTCCAACCTGGCCACAACCAGAAAGGAAACTGTGTCTTGTAAGTTGAACAGAACAGAGGACAAAGAGGCATTTCAAAATGGCTCTTCACATATCCCAGATTAGGTTAAACGAGCCAAAGTTAGACACCGATGGGATGAGTGGGGGAGAAAAAACTTTAGAAGTGTACACAAAAGTTACTAGCTTCATGCCTATGTGGTTTGCATTAACTTTACCCAAGAAATTTGACCTTTGTCTTTGGTTCC